GGAAGGAAGGAAGGAAGGAAGGAAGGAAGGAAGGAAGGAAGGAAGGAGAAAGTTTAAAGCAAGTTCAGAGAGAGTTTACTGTCAATAACAGCCTAAACAGAAGCATGGAAGGGTCTGTTCTCCAACCTCAGTTCAACTAGGCTAGGAACCACAGTAACTAAATAAATCTTCATCTGACTAGAAATCATCACATAGACTTCTTAGGACAAATAACAAATGAGATGTGTTTCTTGAACTGAATGTAAAAAAAAAGAAAAATACTAGGTGCCAAACTTTGTACTGTTCAACTAGTATCAAGCCTGGACCTGGGATGAAAGTTCTACCCTTAAGTGCAATTTTATACATGAATAAAAAAGTTGAAGATCAGTTACCATATGTTCTTGTGAGAAAAAAAAAGTTTGTAAAAATAACAGCAGATTCAACCCAAAGAAATTTCATGGAAGGAAATAATAAAAGTAGAACTGAGTGCAAATGGGAAAATAAAGTGAAAGGGTTCAAGTCCAATAAAACTGAGAAACTTCTAGCGACAGATATCAAGGTGTAGCAGCAAAACAGCAAAGATCTAAGCAATCAATACAGAAAATTAAAATGAAAACACAAGTACAGACCCAATAAACTTGAGAATCTAAAGAGGTCACGAGCAACATTATGTTAATAAACTTGAAAAATTACATGAAATATATAAATTCCTTTAAAACTTACTGCAGACACTGGAAAGAAAGAAAGAAAAACAAAACAAAACAGAAAATTTGAATGCTAAGGGCCCAGTGAGCCGGCTCAGCAGTAAAGGGGCTTGCCAATAATCCTGACCACCTGAGTTCAATCCCTGGGACACACATGGTAGAGGGAAAACAATCAACTCCTTCGAGGTGGCTTCCACTCTGACCCCCACATGCTCTCCTGCACACACAAATAAATAAATGGAATATAAGATTCATGATCAATCCAGAACTCACACTTGAACAGCAAGTGTTTACACACCGGGCCATCTCCCCGCATCCCCCGTAACTTAAAACCCGCGAATGCGAGGGCATGGTAGCACCCACATGTAATCCCAGTACTCTGGAGGCAGAAGCAGGAGGATCGAAAGTTGCGGACCAGCCCTGGCTACACGGCGAGAGCCTGTCTCAACAAAAGGTTGCTCCGCTCTTTACTTGCAGTTGAGGAGTCAGCATGGCGAGTCCGCCAGCCTCGGGATGCCCTTCCCCAGCCCGCTCCTGAGAGGTTGAAGTCACACACTGCCTGTCTCCTGGAGAGGCTAAGCATCCTCTATCTCCCCCTCGCCCTCCCCCGCCAGCTGTGCCCCATCCCATGGGAGGGGATTACCTCGGACAGATAGGACAGCCACCCGCTCTCGCTGTCAGGCCTCCTGGAGTAAGAGCTGTGGGAGACGGCGTCCTTCACCAGCACGGCCAGCGCTCTCAGGATGAACGAGGCGAACAGGTTCATGTGGATGTAGTTGCGTGTGCAGTGCAGCTTCCTGCACAGAACACAGTGCTTCCCTCAGGGAAGAACGGCTGGGGCGCAGCCCTGACCCCCAGGGCATCTGTCGCCAGAGACCGAGGTGCACAGAACAGGCCTTGGCGCTAGGCGCTGTTGCTTCTCCATGCCTTCCCCTCCCTGTCTGTGAAATGGGCCGAGATAACTCAGCTCCCCAGATAACGTACCCCTCCGTGTGTACAGGGACCTATCGCACCTTCACCTCTCGCTGCCACTGGACGAATGGGCATTAGTGTGACCCTGATTTTGTAAGTGACAGGAGTCCCTGGGCAGTGAGTGGTGGAGCTGAGATTCAGGCCTAGAGATGCTGAGAACGGGATCCGGCCCTCCACGGCTTGGCTGTCTCTGAGAAGTAGAACATTTCTCTCTTGGAGGCCAGAGGAGGACGGCATCCATTTACTTACATAAAATGCACATACCAGGTGTCCAGAAACCCTGGCAGCTTTGAGCTTTTGTGCCTGGGGTCCCCCACTGGCTCTCTGTTGTTCGGACTGTGTCCTCTGTCTGTCTTTCCACCTCTGTGGTTTCGATGCAGCACCTACCCCACCCGACTTGCGTTCCTCCTGCTGCGACCTTGGCAGCTTCCCAACGGAGATGGGCTGCAGTGATGAGGTGCGCCTGCTTCTCCACAGCTAGACCAGGAGGCTCAAGCACACCAGACACCTGGTCAAGCCAAGCCCTGATGGATTCATCTCCTGCTGGCTTGGGCTTGGAGCTTCGGGAAAGTGCATGGAGAGAGGCGGGCTGGAGGTGGGACTTGCCAAAACTCAGAAGTGTCCTCCAGAAGGGTACATGTCATGTGCGCTCCTGGAGCCATGGAAGGCCATGTGTTTGGGGAGACAAATGAGGCCAGCTCTGAGTCCAGGTGAGCCCAGGTGGGGTGATCTCCACACACCCACGTCTCCAGGGTCTTCATGCAGGCCTTCTGCACTAGTATTGAACGTCCATTCTGCCTGGGACACTCTCCAGTGCCTCTGACTGAAGAACTTCCTCGGAGGGCTTCCTAGCAGATCCGTAACCATCTCTCTTAGGAGACACCTAAAGTGTGGCTTAGTAAAAGGCCCTGGGCTTTGGGCCTTGAAACAGTACAGTGGACTGATCTTGTGGCCCTGGCTCTGCCACCCAACAGCTGTGCAGTTACTTCAGCAAGTTATTTTGCCTTTCCGTATTTTAGTCAGCTCACTTATAAAATGAAGCAACCAGACTTATTATCAATCTTAAATCAGATTAGGAGGGGAATTAACTGTGGCCGGCAGCTAGCTGGGGTACACAGGCCTCATTCAAATCTTAGGTCTACCATGACTTTACAGGGGAAGGGGGTTCTTGTGTGCAAACAGTGCCTCCAGTGGAACCGTGGTTTGCCTGGGCTGTGGGGGTGAAGGGTGCCATCAGGAACTAATGCACAGTTTGGCAAAGGCAGAGCCAGAACTCCTGCTTCAAGTTCTCTCTGTGTGTCCAGCTGCCTTTCCCACCAATAGGGACTCAATGCCCCTCATCTGGAACTTTCTGTCCACTCATCTACAAACGGCATGGATGCAGTCAAGCACTTCAAGTTTCCAGCTCTGAAGATCTGTGACACCACCCAGCAGAGCCTTCCACTGCCTTCTAGCGACGACCACCGAGCAGCTTACAGGACGCGTGCCTGCACCCATGTCATGTTTTACTCACCGAAGGAACAAGAAGAGTGTAAGAGCCAGGAAGAGGGAGATGAGAGAGAGGGAGTAGCCCACGGTGTACATCAGCTGCAAGGTAGACAGCAAGGCAAGGTGATCCACCTGGACATGGGAAGAGCAGACATGACCACCAGGATGGAGTCTGCACCCGCCTTCACCCCAGCTCCATGCTCAGAGCCACCACCGGGCTAGGCACAAGCCGAGACCTGCTCTGAGTCCCCAGCCTGTTTTCAGACCTTTCCTTCCCCACTGTTGATATCCAAATGCGTGGCCCAAACTGCCTGTGGCACAGTTCAGAGGCCACAAAGCCCCTATGCCTACCCGAGTCTCACCCCAAGCACTCACAGCCAAGCACTCATTCGTCAAGACTCATCACATCAGAAAGAGCTGAACCCCAGACCAAGGGTGCCATGGTCAGCTGAGGCGAAGACCTTTGGTACTCTGTTAATATGATAAATTATGTTAGTTTTCAGGTGATAAATCAATGGTCATGACACTTTTAGCACAATGCTTGATTCATTCAATTTGGTCAAATTTCATCTATGTCCATCAAGAATGTTTTGTCTTTGGCAGGTCTGGAGATATCTGTGTGATGGTTTCCTCATAGATTGATTTAGATAGTGCTTCTTCTTCAACGTTCTGGGAAGTTTGTAGAATTTGTAATATTTTTTTTTCTTTTAAATTTAACCAGCTTTTGCCTCATGAGCTTTGTGAACTGTTAATAGGTTGTTGTTGTTTATTTGTGTATTCTCCCAGTGAATTTACTTCTTCACTACTATGATATTTATCTATCTATCTATCTATCTATCTATCCATCTATTTATTTGGAGGGAGGGTGTCTCACAATGTAGACCAGGCTTGAACTCACAGAGGTCCACCTGCTTCTATCTTCCAAGTACTGGGATGTGTTCTGCCACGCCAATTGAAATGGTACTCTATATCCTGATGTTATTCGTCGCTCTGAAATCTCCTTTGTCTGATATCAATATAAAAAATCCTCCTTCCTTCCAATTAGCATTGTTTTCAGTTGTGATGTTTTGCGTAAGAATGGTCCTCACAGACCCACACGTTTGAATACTTGGTCAGTTGGTAGAACTACTTGAAAAGGATTGGGGAGTGTGGCCTTGTTGGAAGAGGTATATCTCTAGTGGTGGGCTTTCCGGTTCCAAAAGACTCAGGCTATCCCCAGCTACAAGCTATGATTTGCTGATGAAGGCGTGAGCTCTCAGCTCTTCCTGCCGCCATGCCTTTGCTCCACAATCTTGGACTCTAAGCCTCTGAAACCACAAACTCCAAATGTAATGCTATCTTTTGTAAGTCGCCTTGGCCATGGTATTGGTGACAGCAATCAGAAAGTGATTACAACAACAATGGGCTGTTTTTGTTGTTGTTGTTGTTGTTTATCTTTTAAATGTTTACCCTGAAGATTTGTATTTGGGTAAGTGATTGTCTTAGAGATAGCATATCATGGGCTTTTACATTTAACACAAACTGAAATCTACCGGCTTGGGATGCTTAGATCACTTAGTTATTTATCCCTTACTTATTACCATTTACTGCCGTTGTTTATCTGGCTGGGTTTGCATCTACTGGTCTTTTTCTTTGTGTCATATTTTCTCTATTCTCTCTTTTTTTTTTTTGTCTTATTTTGAATTGACTGTATCTTTATTCTCATTCCATGATTTAGTATGCCTTCTTTCAATTTTTAGCGGCTGCTCTGAGATTAATAGTAAACATTTTTAAATTATTGTGGTCTACCATGATCCGATATTTTATAATTTGATGCATAATTTAAAAATTTCTCCACTGTATACTCATGCGTCCTCTGTCCCAGCCATTTCGCTATTGCTGTCATCCATCTATTTACTACAGTGCACGGGCTCCTGAGAGATCATTATTACTTTTTCTTTAACTACTACCCTACCTTTTAGGGATATTTTGAAATATGATAAGAAAATTGTCTCCTGCATGTGCTATTTCTAGCGATCTTTATTCCTTTGTGTGGATCAAAATGTCCAGCGGCATGTCTCCCTTCCTGTGTTGAGGGTTTCCTCACAGTGGTAGTCTGGAGGAAAAACTTCTGAGCTTTAACAATAACCCCAACTGCATTGTTATGGAGAATTATTTTCTGTGACGCTCATTAGGACTCCTGTGGGTCCTCCAGCTGCTCTCATTTGACGTCTCTTCTTAGATCAGCTTTTTATAAGACGTCCCTGGGCCTAGAGAGATGGTTCAGGGGTTAAGAGAGCAGACTACCTTGCAAAGGACCTGAGTTCAGTTCCTAGCACCCACGTCAGATGGCTCATGACCCCCTGTAACTCCCGTTTTGAGGGGCATTGAAGCTTCTAGCCTCCGTGGGCATCTACAGACGCAGGAATATGCCAAGTCCTTTAAAAGTCCTTCTTAAATGACTCTGCTTATTGTTGTCACAGCACTTGGGACTGCTTCACAAATTGGTGCATCAATTGTATTGTTGATATTACTGTTGCTGTTTTTATTATATTTTATTCTGTGCATGTGTGAATGTGTGTGCATGTCTTCATGTGCATGCTCATGTGTGTGTTTTGTGTGTGTTATATTAACTAAAGTGCACTCCCCAGCACCTGTGGAGGCCTGGTTCTGATGCTGGATCTTCCTCAAACACTCTCTGACTTATTTTCTGAAGCAGGGTTGCTCTCTCACAGAGCCTAGAGCTACCCAGTTGGCTAAGCTGACTGACCAAAGCAGCTGTAACATATATGTAATAGACAGTTGTACTGTAGTATATGCACATATGTATAGGAACTGAGGTGAAATGATTTGTAGATTTTGTTGTTAAGTAAACAAAAAAAAAAAAAAAAAACTGCTTTCCATGAAGGAAAAAATGAGGAGCAACAAAAATTACATGTTTGCTTCGTTTTACAGAAAGAAACACAAAACTTTTGTTAAACAAAAGTTGGCACAGTAGACCTGGAGGGGCTGAGGGTCACCATGATTTTGAGACTAGCCTGGGATACATAACTTTCATTGGAAGGAAGGAAGGAAGGAAGGAAGGAAGGAAGGAAGGAAGGAAGGAAGGAAGGAAGGAAACAAGAAAGAAAGAGAGAAAGAAAGAAAGAAAGAAAGAAAGAAAGAAAGAAAGAAAGAAAGAAAGAAAGAAAGAAAGAGAAAGAGAGAGAGAAAGAGAGAAGAGGAGAGGAGAGAGAGAGAAAGAAAGAAAGAAAGAAAGAAAGAAAGAAAGAAAGAAAGAAAGA